TTCTTGGCGATGGATGAACGGGTATCTGTAAGTTTTAGTATAAATTGGAGTCTCATCTGTCGTTTGTATATGATGTTTCAAGTTACTAGTGAAAGATAGAGGTGTATTTTCTTGATAGAAAATATCTGAAAATTCTTCACACAGTTCCAAAGTTTTGTATTTTTCTTCATCATTAAGATGATCAACACGAATTTTTGATAAATCTAGTCTTTGTTTGGGCGATTCGTCAAAATTATTTAAATCTATCATCTCGATATTATTTCTTTCAAAAGGGTCGACTTCTATTTGTTCTGAAAAATCTAAAGTAATTGGCTCGCAAGAGTTATTTAAGATTGTTGTTATTGCATAGCCATCTTTTGCGATTGTTAGTGATTCGGGTATTTCAATATTGTGTAATTTCATATAGGGAACAATAATTTCGCCATTTTTTATAGATGTTTTGATTTTAATTACTTTTTCTGTTCTCGGTTCAACATTAATGCAATTAAGTTCGTTTTGTGTTTGTTGATATTTTAATTTGATCTTTGCATAGGGCGTAATAAGGTAACCACTATTAAAATCAACATTTGCTTGTAATAATTTTAAATTGTCAAGGCCTATCAAACCATCAAAAATGTTATGGAATTTGAATAGGTAAAATTTGAGTTTTCCTTTTTTGGGTAAATTAAATATTTTAGGTGCTGGTATGTTAGCACTATATTTATGGGCTGATTTCTGGAATACCGTACTAACGATGAAAGGATCGTTAATAACGAAATTCGGAAATAATTTAAATGCTATATTTGGGTCAATAAAAGATTTCGTGGAACCTGAATCAATTAAAATTTTGACGTTGTATTCAGGAAACCCTATGTATGAGAGTTCACTGGTGTTGTTTAAATTTAATGAAATCACTGGGGGCGATTCCGTCAAATATTCTGATTGTCTACGGCTGATTCCTGAAAATTTGATTCCACAGCCTGATTTGATGTGGTCGGTTCTTCTTGAGTTTCATTTGTATAATTTATCTGTGCTGGGTCAGCATAATAATAATAATAATTTTCGGGGTTATAGATCTGCTGTTCATCATAATTTGCATTATTTTCGGGGTACGTTTGATTGATGACGTTTGAATAACTGTATTGATATTCTTCAGAAGTTGGATCTAGTTCTGTAGTAAATAATTCTTCAAATGCATATTTGGGCTGTTGCTGGTACTGTTGTTGTGGTTGCTGGAAATTTGATGCTTGAGCCACTGGTGTGAAATTTTGGGTGTTTTGGAAACTTACACCTGACATTGGTGTGGGCTTTGGCAAGATTTTTCCAGGATTTTGTCTAAATACGTTTGTTGGTTTTGGTTTACCAAAAACTTGGGAGTTAGAAAAGAATTTTTGTGGGCGGATGTTTGCATTAGGTCTAATATTGATAGGTTGTGACGGAAAGGGCTGCTTAAACTGATTTGGTGTATAGTTATTATAACCAAAATTTCTGGTTGGACCATTAAATCGAAATTGATGTTGTTGAGGTTTTGGTTTTGTATGATTTGCATTGCTATTATTGTGATTGGGTTGATTTTGGAAATATTTTGTGTTACTCTCTCGAATAACAAGTTGTATGGCATCAGCTAAATCTTTTGGTGACATACAACGAATTGTGTTGCCTAAAGGTTCTCTTAAACCGGCCAAGAATGTTTTTAAAGCAAGTTCTGTATACAAATTTCGTTTTATTTGGGCAGTAGCCACATCGTCGTGAGCATCTACATAACTGCAGAATAAATTAAGTAATTCGAGAATTCTATCATAGTAAGATTGAGGGGTCTCGTTAGCATTTTGTTTGGTTAAAACAAGGTCTCTATTCAAACAAGACTCGTCGCGTCTGTCCGCGAAATGTCTAGTCAATGTATTTTTTAGACCGTCCCAGGTGGAGACATTCTGAACATTAACCACTAATCTAGCATTGCCAGAAAGTTTACCTATAAGAGAGTTTATTAAAAATATATTTTGGAAACAATTTACATTTACAGTATCATAAAAATTATCTATGAGAGATTTGCAAGTCGCTAAATATCTGTTTAGCTCGCAAGGGTTTCCCTCGAATTTTGGGACACAACTTAAATATTCGGGTTTAAATTGAGCCATAGTTACTGGTAAATTTACTGTAGCAATATTTAAAGGAGAAAAGTTTAAATTTTGTTGACTTCGCAAAAGCGTTATAGTTTGTGCAAAAGCAGTTAAATCTAAGTTTGAGCTATCAATAGGTAAAATATTATTTTCACTTTCTACTTGATCAATATTACCTTCAGTTTCTAATTGATTATTAGATTGATCAGTTAACACTTCTGTATTTGAAGCGGAGTCAGAGCTATTATCGTTTATCTCAATACTTTCAAAAGAGTTAATTAAATCGTCCAAATCAGACATTTACAAATTGCACTTACATAAAATATGCTATCAATTTTCGTGCCATAGAGTTTTCTTCTTATGTCTAGGTGGTACTATAAGGCCTCAGTCCTCTGGTGGCAATTTTGTAAACCAAGTCCAAAAGCACTAAGTCCTCGCAGAATTGATAGAGTTTGTTATCAATTCTCAAAATGCCGTCGCGAAACAATCCCCAATTAATTGCTTTACGCACACGAACACTTTTCGTAGTCACGGCCGAAAGTTTCTGATGTTCAATCAAAATCCCGAACCGTAAGTTCTTTCGGATAGCCAGTTGACCGTTTCACGATAAATCGATACTCGATGTATTGATTCCTGACTATCCTACCGACTGCGCCAGTTACAAATCAGTACGCGATGTAAGATTTTTTAAAAACAAATTTATTTCACTTAAAACTATTACAATATTTTTACGTTTAAAATTTATTAAAATTCGAAGCGCCGAAAGTGAATGCAAAGCTCTGACTGACGACGCTCGGCAAGTAGAAGCTACAAAAAGAGAATACAGAATGCAAGCTAATGAAAAATAATATGCTGATTAAATAAAATATACAATGTAGAGCCGTATGTAACTCATCTAATATCGAGATAATATCTTATCCTGTGCTCCAGACCAAAGTGGAACACAGTGAAGAATTTATCCACGTCTATGGATATTTTGTGATGATAGAACACAACGAATTTATGCTAATCAGATCAACTCCAATTCCATTGAAAACAGAAAAACTGGATCCTGGATATTCCAAACGAAGTATTAGCAGTAAATTATGATTCACAGCTATACTTCCAAATATCTGAAGATGAGTTGAGCAACAATCCGAACATTGCAGAAAATGTTTTCGTATGTTCACCAACTACTACAAGAGGCATAGAGACAAGTCCTAATTGCATAATGGATCAAATATATCAAAGAGGAAAAAATACTTCGTGCAAAATCCGACAACAATCCATAGCATCAATAATATGGATGCAGCTACACACTCCAAACTCGTGGTTAGCAATTACGCCTGAGAAAACAAAAATTGCCATTATTGCGATGGAACCTGGGACGATGTGGCACTAAATTAAACAGCTATTATAGAAATAGCCTCTAATTGCCTTATTAAAACTAAGAGGAACATCCTAACTCCTGAAAGGTCAGATACTGTCACTGTCTTAGAAGCATTCTCCAAACCCATACTACAAAATATATCATTATTCCCAGTTATGCATGAAAGGGAAATCACGCTAATTGATGAACCTGTAATTGACGCATCCAACAAGCTCAATGAATTCAGGAATGAAAAAACGAAGATCAAACAACAACTTGAAACTACACATTGGGTAACAGTAAAAAAGCACCTCCTAGTCACGAGCCTCAGTGCTACATTAGTAACTGTCATTGTTGCTATCACACTTATAGTGCTATTCATCAGGTTCTACAAAGGACGACAGAATAACGGCTCCAATACAACAAGAAACAGAGATACGGCAGCCATTCTATTAAATGCGGTCAAAGCTGCTCAGCCATCCACCGAAGCTATTGTTCTCGAACCAGTATTGCCTCATGACAGCACTGAGCACTGATGGCATGGCAATAGAATGCCCAGAATGTCTAAATTCAAAATTTAGTTATAAAAAACCTTAAATTATATTTATCAAAATCATTACAAAAATTAATTAATTATTAGCGTCTAGGTCATCAACACTACATACCGCCAGTAGGTCACCCATACATACCGCCAGTAGGTCAAACATACGATCTAAAACAGACGTACAAATCCTTCAATGTAGAGCACACAACAGAATTTTGTCAGCAATTTATTCTTTTAATTAATTACCATTGTTTATGACGTTTGTTGAAGTTGCATTTTTTGTATATAAATAGTTGTTAATTATTTAATAAAAATCAGTATTAATCCAACAGTGGTTTTACTCCCCAATACCAAACTTCCCGGGTGTACTAACCCAACCTACAAGCTACAATCAACAAACCATTAAGTGTTCCGAGCAGCCGCCTAAATTCCAAGACAGGAATTTACACAATTTTTCCACCGACTTTGGTGGTGTAACAAAAATTTCTATAGAAGTTAGATTTTTTTCTCAATCTTGAGGGTTGAATTTACCCCCTTCAGCCCTGCCCTGGACACTTCATCTTTGGATATGTTAAATAGAATATCCCAAACAATTTTTCCACCGAGTTTGGTGGTGTAACAAAAATTTCCATGGAAGTTAGATTTTTTTCTTAATCTTGAGGATAGAATTTACACCCTTCATCCCGGCCCTTGTCATCATTTTTTAATATGTCAATAAAAACATCTGAACAAATTTTTCTACTGAGTTTTGCGGGGTACCTAACAAAGATGTTAACTGAAATTGGATTTTTTTTCAAATTTCATTGGATGAATCCCTGATTTTTCGCACATTGAGCCTGTTGTCCTGAAATATGATTTTTGAGAGGTATTTCTACTGAGCAATACATACTTTTTATTCATAAAAACAATATTTAGGCATCGACAGCGCTGAATTCTAAAATAATTTTTATATGCTGCACTACTTATCTGGACAACTGTAAAAACATGATTTTCGTTTCTGATTCCGATGCTAACTTCAGCTACGTTTGTTGATCATGGACAACCGCTTCAGTGAAATCATAAGTGACAAGGATCGTGATGCTGTGATAAACTCATCTACACAATATAACAAAACAAAATATAAAATCCTCGTTTTTGTGCTTCTGTCGACAATTTGTCAAAAAGTTTACATCAAAATAAGCAGTGCAAATTTTCATAATGTTTTTACTCCGAAATTCGAGCATTAAAGCAAAGCAGTTCATAATTTATTCTCTTCTAAACAACAACGTCACAAATATAGTGTAACCTAAAGGTGTGATAAAATCTAGTTAATATTTTATCCAAACATGAATACGGACCAGTTACATTTTATTAGTAAGAAGAAGCGTTGGTACGTAATAAGATGAACTTGAGAGTTTTATTTGTTGCGTTGTGCGCTATGTGTTTTGAAAGTAGTATTCAGGCTGAAGATGGATATACATTTATCAATAAAGTGCGGTTTCCATTTTCGCAGTTCTTTGATCCTTTTATGGGGGTAAGTAACTGGTATTTTGAGACGTAGATTGCAGACTGCAGTTTTTTTTTTGCAGAATTGAAAATAAGCAGTCAAAAATTATTTATTTGTGAAATATCTATTCAATTCAGAAATCTTTTTGTTTCCTGAATTTTTTTTGTTATGTTGAACACATTGTTTTCGAGAAAAATGGCAATTTGTGATCGAATGCATATATCGAGAATGTACCTGTTCATTGTAGGTGGTGAATTTATTTTGCCGATTTTGGTGTATTACCTACACCAAAATATCATATTCTCGCACGCAAAATCGTTCAATGAAGCTCGTTCTTCAACGATTTATAGTGACATTTACTTTTCAAAGAACCTATTGATATACCTACCTTCAAAATTGACAAACCTTGTAAAATAACAAAATCCACCTATCAGTTGGTTGGTAACTAAGTGTTGCCAACTGAAATATTTTGTAAGAAAAATCCCCAACTAACAGCGAAAACATAAAATACAAAATCGAGGAAATAGTATAAAACTAACGTTGCAGGAGGTTATTCTCGCATTCATTCGTTCGTCCACTCGCTCCTTCGGTCGCTCATGGCTAAATTTTGAATTCGTTCGGGAGTATGTGTTCTTCTGCAACTTGTATTTTAATATACTATTTTCACAGTTATCATCAGTTCCTAGATTAATATCTTTTCTATCTTTCTCGGAAAATTATTCAATCAAGTTCCAATTTGTTTGTTTATTGCGAACGCCGCTAGCCACCTACGATTAACAACTAGAATTTCATACGAATCTCATCATTAGATCACATTTTGTTATTTTACTCGAAAACGATGTGTTGAACGGAAAAATTTCAAGGAACAAGAAAAGTACACAACAGAAAAACATTCTTTAAAAAATTCGAATACGCAACCAAAGTTTTGAGGCTCACGAAATTTTTCTTAAGGTGTTCTCCACCCAAAAGCGTAGCTCCATTCAATTCTTCATGCCATAGAACCCCTGTGTACCAAACATATTGATCATCGTACTATAGGATTTGTGAAATAACAAAAAATACTATTCTAAGGGGCGAATTTTAGGAAGCTGTAACTCCGAAAATGGGAGGCGATTTACCAAAAATAAAAAATACGGATTTCCCATTTCTTTTAAGAATCTTTGAACAAATTTTGTTGCATTTATTTCCGAACACACCGTATAGTGTAGTCAATCTAGGCAGGTTTATTCAGGTGAGGTAGAAAAAATTAGTAAAGTGCGTTTTTTTTTAAAGATAATTCCCCAAGTCAAAAATTTAGTAACTATGTTGGCAACACAAGCCTTTTCTACATGAAAAATTTGAAAACATTGACAATTTTACATTGTATTGCCAACCTAATGTCAGTTTGACTTTTATCTTTAAAAAAAAAACGCACTTTAACAAAGTGATCTCTAAAGTATGCATCACCTATATCCAAAAAGCTCAAGAGAACTTTTTTGTGGAGAATAAAAAGTTATTTATAATAAAAGAAATTTCATTACTTTTACCTGGAAAACAAAAAAGTTTTTGAAATTTAATTTATTCAAAAATTTAGAAATTTTTGAACTTTAAGTAAAACCGCGAAATGTATACATTTTTCTAATAAAACTTAAGAATGCCTTTTAGTAGAGGATTAAAGATACTGTCACGGTTTTGGGTTGCCTGACAGAAATCTTGGGTTCGTTTCATTTATTCCAAAAATCAAAGTCCAATTAACACACCAATAATTTATTTTACGTAACAATACACTCTGAACAGAATCGGCGACACATAGGCGGCTCGTTACAATACCTATAATGCCATAAAATAAAACATCGGTACTTATCGAAAAGTTTGGTATAAAGGATTAAAGCATGGTCTCAATTTTCCAGTCTTCCTCTTCCACTACTGGGAAGGTTTAGTGATTTTTTTATAAACCCTAAAGTATGGAATTAGATTTATTTGAATAACTTATAGTATGTCTATCCAAACAGCACACAGACATCTTGGAAACGTCCCTAAGATGTCCACAAACGACATTCAAGACGTCTTTAAGATGTCTGCTTACGTCTTCAAGGCGTCTTAAAGACATCTTAAATACGTTGTTATGTTACAAAACCCAACGTCTTTCAGACGTCTGCCTAAAGACGTCTTCAGGACTGATATTTTATTATATTTTATACGCTGTGTCTAGCCTCCCGGCACCGGTATTCATACGAATCCCGGTTATGGCGCGTTTTAAATGACGTCATCAACAACCACCGGTAACTATCGTGGATCCCGGCTATTGCTATACAAGATGTTAATAATTATTATGTTCATCAGTATTGGGGCAGATTTATTATGAAGAGTAAAAAAAGTAAACAAAGTCGGCCGCGATAAGCTTTTATTAATGGAAAATGAAATTATGATTTTTTATTATATACAGGGTGTCACGAAAGGTTTGTTACAAACTTCCAGGGATGATAGATCCTATTAGTCCAGGAGGTAGCGCCAAAAACATGCAAGAGTTTTCGCAAGGTGGATATTTTCAAAATAGGTCGTACTTTAGTGCTAGAATGCTAGTGTACAGTCAGCACTCACAGTTCCGGGACAGCTGGCTCTGGGACGCGGGCAAAGTTGTAATTTTAAGAAGCATCTAAACTGTTTTCTCAAAGCTCAAAATTTATAGAAATTTTGCACATTATCTGTTTGAAGGTCACAGTCACAGATAACGTATGTAAATCGTCAGACGTCTAGTTCGTTGCAAAAAGGGGGTCAGACGTCCTCAAAGTTCTTATTTTATGGCATTTTCTTCAAATATATTTGTCAAATAAGTACCTGCAAAAATATATTTTGACAGGACACCGAAGAAAATGTCATAAAATAAGAACTTTGAGGACGTCTGACCCCCATTTTGCAACGAACTAGACGTCTGACGATTTACATACGTTATCTGTGACCTTCAAACAGATAATGTGCAAAATTTCTATAAATTTTGAGCTTTGAGAAAACAGTTTAGATGCTTCTTAAAATTACAACTTTGCCCGCGTCCCAGAGCCAGCTGTCCCGGAACTGTGAGTGCTGACTGTACACTAGCATTCTAGCACTAAAGTACGACCTATTTTGAAAATATCCGCCTTGCGAAAACTCTTGCATGTTTTTGAGCCAGCTCCCCAACTATATAAAAATGAAGTTTTTTTCTCAATAAACATGTGTCCGGAAATGCTTCGTTTTCCAAATATACAGGGTGTAAAACTTTGAAAAAAAAATCAATTTTTACATTAATTCTTAGAAGTGTGTTTTTTTTTTTTTTTGCGGATATGCGCACTCGCAAGGAAATGTCGTATCACGCTGGAGACGCGGCAAGTGCGCGGAAATGTCGGTGTATGTTGGTCTTGAAACGGTTCAGGGTGTAACCTGCAGGGAAAACCGTCGCAGGGAGTTTATTCCACAGCGATGCTGTTCTCCAGAGATATGAATTCTGATATAATGAGGTTCTTGGTGCCTCTAGTTTGACAGTAAATTCATGGATTCCGTCTGTTTGACGGGTTCGCCTGGTAGGCGCTACTCTCGGTGGAATCATACGTGCCAACTCTTCAGAGCATTTTCCGTGATAGTACCTGTAGAAGAGAGATAAATCGCCCACAGATCTGCGATGTTCGAGACCATCCAAGTTACGAGTAAGTGCGGGGTCATTGATCAGCTTGATAGCTCGTTTTTGCACGGTGTTCAAAAGCATTAAGGTATGTTTGGGTGCTGCACTCCATATATGTGAGCAGTACTCCATAGTTGGTTGAATCTGGGCTTTGTAGAGTGTCAGCAATTGGCTTGGTGTGTACAGATGTCTTGTACGAAATAGCACCCCAAGCTTTTGGGACGCCCTTTTAGCAATATCTGCCACGTGACTGTGCCAAGACATGTTGGTCTCTGCAGTAACCCCCAAGATGTTCAACTGACTCTGTAATGTGACAGCACTTCCAGATAGCATGATGTTTGGCTCACCGGTGCTGGTCTTTTTTGAAAACAGAGCTGCTTGGGTTTTCTGCGCGTTGAACTGTACAAGGTTTTTGTTACCCCAGTCCTCTATTATCTCCAGGTCGTTATTTATCTGCGATATTTGAGTTAGTCTAAGATGATGGAATTCTCGTGCGGAAAGACCTGTGGGTGGTATGAGTGAGGAGACTATATTGCCATCGTCTGCAAAGCAATAAAGTGGATTTACTGTTTTATCTATGAGGTCATTTATGTAAATCAGAAAAAGAGTTGGCGAAAGGATTGCGCGTTTAAGAAAAATAGTATATTGTTGTATTAGGAGTAGAAGCTTTACTTTTTTGTGCTGAAGCAGTAGGTTTGCGAGCCGAACGTAGTGAGGCTTGCAATACTGCTGAAGCACAAAAAAGTGCTTCTACTCCGTATGCAACACGCTATTTTTTCTCCAAACGAATGGGGTAAGCTCGGGGCTAGATGAATGGTTGAGCGGCAGTAAAAGTACGAACGGCACTAAAAGTACTTTTGCTGCCGCTCCAGCGGCACTAAAAGTACTTCTACTGCCGCTGCGGTTGCCTAGCAGCATGGAAATTAAATTTCTACCACCACGACATGTGTTAACCCGTTGGATTTGCCTACCAGCATAGAAATTAAATTTCTAACATCTTGACAGGTGCTAACAAAGTGACGTTTTTTTGACGTTTGGAGAAAAAAGTTTTTTATTTTTTATTTTTTTTTTGTTAATTTTAAGCAACAAAGATCCTGGTGAAATTTCAGGTAATTCTGTGGCAATTTATTTTTTATTTATGGAGGTCAGTGACATTCGTGGTTCTCCTAAAATGGTTTAAATTTTATCTTGAAGTGTTCTATTCAAAAAACATATTCCTAATTTAAAATGAATCTACTGGACGATGTTTTTCGAGCAAAAAAACCATCCGACAGAACCTGTGGCACGTCCCTGGAATTATTGGGTCAACTCTGAGCAGTCCAAAAGATACCTCATGAAGGTGGCACCAAACTATGAAAATTTCATTTAATTCATCCAACGCATTTCTAAGAAT